TTTTATAGTATTTATCTTGCTTTATTAGTATTGTGGTTGTGATTCTTTTGTTTTTTGGTTTGATTATGATTTGTCTAATTAGTACATTATTGTAGCTGTGATTCTTTTGATTTTTGGTTTGATTATGATTTGTCTAATTAGTACATTATTGGTTGTTGCTGGTTTGTTTTGTGGTTTCATTATGATTGTTTTCAAATCGGTTGAAATGTGTTTTGACTTTGTGTACTTTGTTAATTAACACTTGATATGATAGGCTGGTCAATTAGTATATACTTTAATCTGTGCATTTGTTTTTTCAAGCTGCTCAGGATGTCAATGATATAGGCATGACTAGTACTGATCCTTTGTATTACCTGGTTATAAATATCATGCAAGCTCAATTTTATAGTTAATTTTTACATTCATATTCACGTGGTTTTTATCTCCACGTCCAGTGTCTATGAGTGTTTGTCTTCTTTTTTCTATTATTTGACATTCAGAATGCGACTTCCTTAATTTACAGATTCGTCCCCTGTGGAGGCACTACTTCCAGAACACTCAAGGTCTTATATTTGTGGTTGATAGTAACGACAGGGACCGAGTTGTGGAGCCAAGGGATGCGTTACATCGCATGTTGAATGAGATTAGTGTTTCTTTTTGGTATTCTCTTGTATCACAGTAAGACATAAACAGCTTTACATAATTTGATTAAAACGTTGTTTGCAGGATGAACTGAGGGATGTTGTCCTCCTTGTGTTTGCAAACAAACAAGATCTTCCCAATGCAATGAATGCTGCAGAAATAACCGACAAGCTTGGCCTTCACTCTCTTCATCCTATGTCAATGAATGCAATTGACTTATATTATGCATTTTGGATTAAAACGTTTGTTGCGTATTTTGGATTGAGACTTTGTTTGATGATATCAAAGTTATGAAATTTCTATAAACCAGAGTTCAATTGCAAAAGAGGGTTCAATTTGTGTCAGTTTAAACATAGCATATATAATTGTCATAACAACACATTTTATCGCCTGTTCAAAACTGCTACAAAATTATAGATAATAGCATCAAAAATGAGCTGTCACGTAATGTATTGCAGCATAGAGAGTCGCTCTAACAAATTAAATTAAAGCATTCGAGAAATGCTATCGTATAATCACATA